CAAATGATACCATACTATAACACAAACTGTAAAAACGTCAGCCTGCACCTGTGTGAGGGAGTTTCCTTTCTTCTCTCCATTATTGATTGCTTTCCTTTATGAGCTCACTTTGGGTGGGCTTTGGGACACTGTAGTGTAATGATGTTCTTACTGTTGCCTGACATCTTATGGACCAAACAAATAGTCAATTATCCAGAAAATAATCGAAAAAATGAATTGATAATGAAAATGATTAGTCGCAGCTCTGATATTTTGTTGATAATACTGCTACTTTTACTAAGAACAATTTTGAATTCACAACATTGACTGATAAAAAGGTATCATGTCAGCTGTATTGGTCGTTTTAAGCTATAAGATATAAGATATAATAACTAATATCATAGGTCCCGTAGCCCTCACTGGCAGACACGTTTCCACATGTTGCCCTGAAGACACCGAAATTCATTGAATGTGGCCGACAGGAAAAACTATTTCCCTCGACACTAGACATGTTCCTAACAGTTTCAGTTTGTGTAGGCATACTGCACAAATGTACTTAGCAGTGACTGATTTCTATCAATGAACTCGACTGATTTCACTCACTTGTTGCACTCAACTCGACCCACACTGTCTCCTCGGCTGCTGTCTCAGTGGACACTTCCTGTTAATAACACCTGTGAGTGTGTGCGTGTTCCGTTCCCTGCCTAGCACATGGGTTCGTTTGTTTGTTTGTTTCGAAATACCGTTACATGTGATTATTTAGTATTTTTAGTTTACATGATGTTTAGTTCACTTTACATTTCTTTTGATGTTTTCCTGTTTGTCGGTGTGTTTAGACGATGTTTCTGTTTGTTTGTTTTGCTGGGCTCATTTTATTGCAACTAAGCATAAATGCAGTCTATCTATTGACCATACACATGAGTACACAAAAAGAATACGCCGAAAATGTTATGGATATCAATGATAGCATGAATTGAATAGGATGTACCTGAATACGCAGAATTGATTTCAGGGCGACAGTTTGACTTGACTTCTTCACACAAGATACCGAACTACCAGAGACACATATATTATTGATGATAGTCGGCAGCCTATAATAGGTGTGTATAATTGATTAAAATGCATTTATTTCAGCATATCATATGCGTGGCTGATGTCTCCAAATATATGCTTGCTTTTATCCAGCATTTACCCTCCCTCCCCCTTCAAGCGTCCTCTGTGCCCCAAAAACAAGGCTCTCATTGTAATTCGCAAATCCTATTATGGTTGGCCCCAGTGCTTAGCAAATAAATAATGGTAATGATGATGATCCCTCATCTTGTCACTGGGGCTCTCCCCTGGGGCTTCGCAGTGCAGGTGGAGGGATCCTCTCCTGTCCTAATTGGTTCCAACCCTGCAGTCTTCTCTCCAGCCTTTTCTCCCCCCCCTCCCTCTCTTCTCTCTCTCTTTCTCTAGGCCTCAGAACTCACTCTGTAAACGTGTCTCTCTCTTTATGTGTGTGTGTGTGTGTGTGTGTGGTGACGACACATCGCCTTTGTTCATTTATTCTTGCACAAGCATGAAATCACACATACACCAGTGCTTTCTGCCTCTCTGTCCTGGTCTCCCTCTGCACACACAGATGGACGGACAGACTGAAAACACACACGCACGCACACACACACACACGCAGATACAAACATCTATGTACTGTAGGCCTCATGTGGCAAAAGACTGACAATATCTTGCCACTGTCTTCCCCTGTGGTGGCGTTTTGGCAGCTGGTGCATATGAACTTGTTTGATGGTGCCAGACAGTTTCCATCCCTACCTGTCTGTCTAGTCCACAACTCTGACCCCTGCCCTTCACTGAACCTATATCTCCAACCATCACCACACCTCATTACAGTAACGGAGATTAACAATCGTACAATCAGACTCGATAATTGAATTTTTCCATCTCAATGACAAAAAAAGGATTGAAATAAAAGGGGTATTCTGCAACAGTTATTAAAAGAATCATGTCAAGGTTTTAATTTAACGCTTCAGAGGTTCTGTCAGGAAATATGGGATTTGATAAACATTCACGCTATTCCACACACACTTACACCTGCGTGTCACATAAACAGAGACAGACAGAGAAAATGACAGTCTAAAATGTTGTTTTGTGGCTTTGAGGACTGGGAGAAGAAGCAGCGTTAGCAATGGCCCGCGGAAGAGACTTTCTAAAACATTCTTCTAAAATCAATACCTTCTCTGCTTGGCAAAGAGGATCTCTAATATAGTTTTATGTTATTATTTTTCCTCACACATTGCTACATTTCTCAGCGGCCGGCGAAGGGGGAGATGGATTTTCTCTTCGACTGGATGCTAAATGCGATTCTGAATGCGGTGGGTCAATGAGATGATGCAGAGCCTGTACTCTTAAAAGGGGATGCGTCACATTCTGCACATCTATAACTGCAGTTTGGCACCTCACAAAGTTGTATTACTTTTCAACGCCGTATGTATCATGCTGGGCGACCATGTGTTGCAAATAACATGTCATACATTCAGGAAGATTTCTGATACGCTTGGAGAGTAACAAGCTGTTTGCCTCAAACTGCACCCATGGGTGTAATCCTTAACTCAGTACGCATCCAGTTGTTATGGAGAGGATTGTGGAGCTTTTAACTGTAATTTGATCACTTAATACAGACCATTGATACTGATGACAGCATATTAAAGGTATGCATTTAATTTCATGGACAGAAACTCACAAAAAACACACTGGAAATATGGGTTCTAGGCACAGTTATTTAAAACCTCATAACCATAAAAAACGATGTCTTCCCTTTTGCAAGCCTGCGATCCTTTGGCCTGGACAAACACAACTGTTATTCTCAATAAACACACACTGGGTCCCTGTGGTGTGTGAAGTTGGATCAGTGAGAATTTAAGCTCTATATCCGGTGCAACAGGGACCTCTGTTGGGTAAGATCACCATTGCATGTTAACTGGGTCTCAGTACAACACATTGTCATTCAGTATGTAATATGTTTGTTGCAATATGTTTTGGTTTTACACATGAAAATTCGGCTTTTACCTCCAATTGAGATTTAGAGTATCTTTTTATACTCTTTATTGCACCTTCCTGGTTTTAAAAGTACCAGAAATACATAATGTATACCTATTGCACTTGGCAATGTATAGTGGAACATTGTTGAAAATATGAATGCATTGTTTGATATCCTGAAATATTACTGATTGTTGTGGAAATCTGTCTCTGAAAAAACATTTTAAACACTTGGTATTCAAAACTAAAATGTTAAATCTTAATCTGAATGTCTTTCTACAACATGATCCTGATTTACAGGGCTTATGGACATCTTCCTTGTTTTTCTTAGAGTGAAAACTGATCTTGAGAGAGAATGTTTTGACATTCATCTTTTCTACAGAAGATTAAATAATGTCAACTTTAAGCTCCAGTTTCCATGGCAATAGAGCAAACTCAATTTAATCTTGAGGACCATGTGATTTGTCAACAGTAAATGTTGTTTTATGTTATTGAGGCGGAGGGTATAGATCAGTTTTCTTTTCAATGTCCTATGTTGTGTCCTTTGTCTGATTTTAACCTGAGCGAATGTATAAAACTTGACCTGCAGTTGGACTAAGTTCGGCTCTTGATATGGTTTCCACAATAAAAATGAAATTCTCTTCAATTGAACAGATTCATTGCCACAGCATCGTGCTGTTGACCCTCTCCATGTCCTCGCCCTCTCACCAGTGCACTCGCATATACAGACACACACACACTTATAAAATCGTCCACCCACTCAAATCCACAAACATTTTGGCAACCCTCCTCCATCCCGCCCGTCTGGAGTGGCAGGGTCAGGGGGTCGGGGATGACAACATGGCAGCTGTGATGTCTTCCAACGCGGTCCCTCGGTCCAGAGCGCATGATGCGGAGGCTGTTTCCCAGAAGGAAGTGACCCGTGTCTGAAGGGGTGCTCTGTTGTCCAATCGGAGGACCGCTGAAGCCTGGCAGCGCTATACCTGCTCGGGCCACGCTGCTCTCCTTTTCCTCTGACAGACAACAGAGGAGGAAGGAGGCGTGACCAGGCAGCTCATCATCTGCATCCAAACGTGGCCGTTGAGAGAGTGAGGGAGAGCAAGACACAAACGGAAACACAGAGGTAATCTAACCTAGAATAAAGAATAGAGCAAAAGTAAACGAATGAAATGGTTTATTAACAACAATCAGAAGGTAAAAACCAGATGTATAAAGATGTCTGTCTGTCTGTGTCCTGTTATTCAGGCCTGTAGTCACTAGTGAATGTCTCTACGGACCTACAGATGCCATTCCCTGCATACCTGATCTCTTAGCTGTCCCTTTACACAGCAAAACATCCCCAGTGTCTCCTTTGGATAATTACACTGCACTCAGGGCAGCTACAGAAAATAGCTCTGCATCTTTTTGAAGTCCTGGAAATGCCTCTGCCTCATTTGAATCTATCATTTTGTATTCCCCGACAGGAAATGAAAAGCATTCTTCTTTTTTCCCAGTCATGAATGACTCCAATGACTTACTGCTAACATATTTAGCAACGATCCAACTCTTTTTCAGGGTTTTTTTACACTTCTTTTACACACACACACACACACACACACACACACACACACACACACACACACACACGTCATGAGGATAAGTTTGATCATATCAAACCTGGGAAAAGTGTATGGGAGCTACTGTACAAAATCTGCCAAAAAATAAAATCAGTGAATGTGACCTGTGTGCTTGTACAGTCTTGTTGACAATGGCTTAACACTGTTTATCTGCCTGTTTCAACACATGCCTGCACACTGAGTAAATCCACCCCAATCTATTCTGCACACAGGTGACGTTTACAGACAAACACCAAAAACAAATGTTGAAAACATGTTGAAATCTAAATTCAAGTATAAAGTGTTGTTGTTGCTTTGGACCAAGAACACACGTGTCAGCAAACAGCAGGGGATGAAACTGGGAAGGAGGCTGGCCGAGAGTTTGGTGCCTCCTCAGATCTCCTGCTGCAGGTTGGCGGAGAAGAAGCCGAGCTGTCCCGTGCTGACCTTCAGGTAGCCGTCGACCTCCTCACCCTTCTTCACTACAATCTGAGGACACGCACGACAAACACACTTAGACTGGGAAAATGAAAAATATCTTCCTCAAGTGTAGGCTGGTTGTTTTCCTCGATGCTTGACTGCACACAAGTCTTTGCAATTCAACATTCGAGAGTGCACAGGGACCAATTTCTAAAAGCAGAACAAGTCTCAATGGCAAGTGATGAACAGAAATTTGCATGTAAAACATGTTTGGAGACTGTAAGAAGAATTTTGTCTCTGCAGATGTTCAAAAAAGCAATTTGTAAAATCTCACCGACTAATCATGAAAAGGATTTGACCCTAATAGCTATATGTAGATTACGTGTCGCTCAAAATTTGTCCCTGAACTTTTCAAATCTTGATTTGCAGATTTGTTAAAGCTACTATGTGTAGAAGTGGAAAACTACCCACTTTGGCACCACATGACACGATGAAGACACTGTAGCAGATAGCAATGCATGCAGCTGAAGAGTTTCCATGTCTTCATAAGAGCAACAGGAATTTTAAAGTTAGTCCTCGAGTTAATTTATGGCAACTGTGAGGTTAGTGACTGAACAGAAGTCAGTGACACTGCAACATCTGTCTCTTCATGTCAACATGACGCACATGATGGCTGTATTTAGGTGAGTAACTACACCATGTTTAATTCATTGAACAGGAAAGCACCCTGTGTTTTTCTTTTAATTCACTTTTTGAAACCCCCCGGTGTAAAGAACTGCATAATTACTGCGTTTGTTATTTTCCTCCTCTGGATCAGTGTTTAATAATTATTATTAAGTAGTATTCAACTTCAACAGTCCTCAGTGTTTGTAAGAGAGTGGATTAAGCTTGGCTTTAATTAAGACAACAATCTATCGAGAATTGATTTGAGAACTGGCCAGAGCTTATGGTTGCATGCTGGTGCGGACATCACTCCTGTGTATTTGTGTGTAAAGTATAGAGTGTGTTTGTGTTTCTGCACCTATGAGGATCAACTGTCCTCACAGTCACAAAAAGAAACAAACTTATTGCAACTTCTTGACTCTTTATTATTTTAGTGTGTTCAGCTTACAGATAAGACTGGGATTAGGTTTATTAGTGGAGGCATTAATGGTTTGGTTATATAATCATGCATCTGAGTGTGTGCACATGTGTGTGCGTGTGTGCGCGGGTGTGCTTGGGTGTTAACCTGGTCTTTCTTCAGAGTGATTTGGCCCATCTCTTTGTTGCCAACGAAGGAGCGCGTCACCTTCTAGACCCTTTCTCCTGCTCGCACTCGGATGATGTAGTTGGCAGATATGAAGCCTGTTCTCGCTCCGATCTTCCCCTGTTGGAGCCAAACATTTAAAAGAATATCACTGTAAACCAGAAGCTCTCCAACATGTGAGCTGCAGCTCTAACTATCAGCGTTTACGTTGTTTTCCCTTTTGGTCCCTTGATTGTCGATTGACTTTACAACTACATAAATAATGAACACAAAGCTCAAATGTAGCTGACTTGGAAGTTGATAAACGCAAACATGAACGCAAGTACAATTTCATAACTTTTGGAGAGCAGGCAGGATTGAAAACATCACCTTGACATCCCTGTGAGTAATACGAGGAAACAGATCTAAGACTCACTCTCCACCATTCCTCATTGGAGTCATCCATCACTGTGATGCGGTCAACAGCACTTGGGAACAAACAGGATATTAAATATCTAAAAATTTAACAATGACACAAAAAAGTATGTTTGGTGCAAGTGAGACGGCCAGGCTTACTGAACATCCAGATCGTCCTTCTCTTCTTTGAAGCGGTACAGAGACAGATAGTAGTGACACTGACTGAACGCGCCGATCTTCCCCGGCTGAAGCTTTTTACTCTGATGAGAACAAACATACAAAGCACAGTGCTGACTTAACATCACCCGTCATGTCCACATCTCAAATATATTCAGTTTACTGTCACAGAGGAGTAAAGAAACCAGAAAATATTCACCTTTAAGAAGCTGGAATCAGAGAATTTTGACTTGTAACCAATTAATTGTTGGCAATTAATTGAATAGATGACAAGAAATGGATACATTTGTTCATCATTCATTAATTGATCAGCTTTCATTATAGTTTTCATCGATCATTGTGGTCATCACCGGCACACTGTCATCAGCAGGAAACTTGTCTTCTCTTTTGTCCCCTTCTGAGTTTGCTGGCAGACAACAAACAACTACAAAAAACGAGACAAACAAATGATTGACCTTTACATATTGTATCTCCTTTACTGTAACACATATTTGATGTAATTCTACAGGTGCTGGATCAAAAACAAACGGATTCAAAGGTTTGGAAAAAGATCAGCATATTGTAATGACGGCTGCCAGCTAATTTAATATAACAAGCAATGTTTTGATCTACCAGGGAAAGATTTAAGCCTTTACAATGCTGCCAGCTGTTCAGCACACACTTTACCTCCTTCACCTCCTTCATCCGCCTGTTTGGGCTGGGACTCATCATCATCCTCATCATCATCATCATTTGAACAATTTAAGATAAACAATATGTAGTAAATATATTTAGAACTTATTGTCACACATCTTATAACTAAATTGTGCTTTAACAATCAGATTAAAATAGACATACAAAATAAATTTGAAGAAGACAAAAGGAGAGAAAAATCAGTAAAAACAACGTACTTTAACAGTAAAGGAAATAAAACAACTCAAAAGAAGATTCTACGAACCAACCCGGTGACCTACAGTCAGGGCTAGAGTGACCCGTCCATATAACAGGCCATTCTAGAAACCGACGATATTTTAACACGATAAATAATTGCACCATGTGAACAGATAGATGTGTGCTGTAAAAATGTTATTAGTGCATTCATGCTCACATCGTTCTTGTCCTCTGAACCTTTTTTACGCTCCTTGTTGGGCATGACCACACTGATACACAGCGTCTCCAACACAGGGTCAGTGCGGTTCAACTGTGCTGCCAGTCGAACGTCATCCATCAATAATGCAACAGAGAAAACACGAGTGCAGGTGATTGTGCAGTTCTAGACGTATTTAAGATTAACTTCAGGCCTGATTGTTTAAAAAGGAAAAATCCACCAAAACAACGACGGGGAAAAGATCCGGACACTGAAATAAGTGAGGACATGGAGCCGAACGCCTGAGAAACACAGTCGCACTCCAACAACTATCGGTACTATTGATTTGCTTTTTTTATCGCTCCAAAACAGAAGTCCCAACGGCCTGGCAGTCAGCTCTGCTGCTGGAGGGAATGTGGAGAAATGATGGTTGATCATGTTCACGTTTTCTGGCCCCTCTATTTAAACTTTCTAGAAGGATGGAGCAACAGCCATCTCAAAAACCCTGGGCTTCAGTATCAGTTTGACAGTCACATCCCTCTGTCTTGGACACATCGCTGACAGGCTAAGTAAAGATGACACCTATACCTCCTGAGGATCTATAGCTGGCAACAAGTCAAAAGGCCATCACAAAATACTGGCTTTGTGAAAACTGTCCCACAGCATCAAGCGGAGAAGATGAACTCCCCATCACACACATGCACCGCTGATCTACATGACAAAAACGTCTCTTTCATGTCAAGATTTTAAAAAATTAAACTCAATATTAGGCTGGGAAAGAATTGCACATGTTGAAGAATATTTACCAATATTTTGGTATTTTTGTGAGATCTGTCATTGACCGGTTTGACTGGTTGTGGAGGAGGTGGTTCGTCTTTGTCTTGGTCCTCTACCTCTTCGTCATAGATGAAATATATCTAGATGCAGGTGAGGAATGAGGTTCAAATTCACCACAGAGCAGAATAAAGATGGGTCATATATGAGCAGTATTGTGCTAGAAGACAAACAATGAAACACAATGAACTTAGATGTTGTGTGCCAGCAGATAACGGACAATAATGGTGAATAGAAAACAAATATGTTTTCATTCAAGCAAAGTAGAAAACAAACAGAATAAGATTCAGTTTTGGGATTTCATTGAATTATTCTCTTCTGTTTGCTTTTTTTATTTAACATTCCCAGTATCCTGTAACACACACAGCCTGTCAGGTTTATATGAGAACCCTGCTATTAATACTGAACCTCCCACAGTCTCAGCCACAGTCATATGGAGCTGTGTCATATCAGCCAGAGATAGACCCATGAATAATCAATTCAAACACGTGTCAAAACTACTGTATGTCTTTTTTTATTTGACAAAAATTCATAAATTGAGTTTAGAAAGTAATTTTGCACGAAGCTGGGAGGTTTTTTTGTGCACTTTTTTGTATGCACACACACACACACACACAATCCACAGGTGGGATGGACTGAAAGGGTTTAGATCTCAAAATAGCATTCAACGAAGACCAACAGAAGTCCCAACTGAATGTAACAAAGCTTGACATAGCTGCTCCTAAATATACTACAGTCTAGTCAAACAGAGCCATGTGGATGTCTCTCTTTCACACACACACACACACACACACACACACAAACACACACACACACACACACACACACTGAACTGGATCCGACTCTCCCTCACTGGAAGGATCAGCGGTGTCCTGTGGCCGCCAGGCTGTGGATTTACGCAACAATAACTGATAATTCCGGGGACAGTTCACACGTTACAGCACAATCCCTCTATTTAGCTGTCAGGATTCCTAAACAAACCCATCACAAAGTCTCAGTACATACGGCAGTTTAGAGTTGACTGATGCCAACCCACTTCAGCAATTTTTCACAAATCAAGAGAGCAGAAAAACAGAGGACGTGATATTTGTCCAAACATCAAGTATTAAAAAGTATATATGCTAACAAGGAATTAGGCAGAATGAATACAAATCGATAGGTTAAAGGACCAGTTCATACTCTGAAAATACATACAATACTTTTCTCCAGTGGTATCTGACTACTCAGATAGTTTTCGGTTTTGTTGACCTTCATCAAACCGCTAAAAAGTGTGATTTTGGACTGAAAGATGAAGTATAAATCCTTCACTGTTAAGAGATATAACAGCTTTTTATCAAAGTGTTTTTGATGTAAAAATACTGAACTGATACCAAATTCCAGAGTGCTGCAGAGGTGTCTTAACTGTCATGACTGATGTATGTTAACTGTATGAATCAGACGATGATAGTTTAAACTACCTGAATTTGATTTAAACATTTGTTACGATGTTTTGTAAAACAGCAGCAGAATTTACTTCCTGCTCAGGTTCAGTTTTCTTTTTATGTCCATTTCAGCCAATTTCTTATTTAAAATATTTAAAATAGTTATTAATATCACATTTATCAACATAGAAGATGTAACACGAATGAGATGAATTAAAAAAAAAAGAATCACATTTGTTTTAGCAGAAAACATCACTGAATTTTTTTTTTAAGAATCAACAATGAGGCAGACATGAGTAAAATACAGTATATGTCGATTGGACAGAAATAATTCTCAATGCCATGTAAAACTGTTTGTTCAGAGTCACTTGGCATTGATGAACAGTAAACTGCCCCTTGATGTGTGTGTGTGTGTGTGTGTGTGTGTGTGTGTGTGTGTGTGTGTGTCTGTGTGTCTGTGTGCCACATGTTGCCTGATATTGGATGTCTCACCGCGTTGTCCTCTTTCACCACATCATCAGGCAGAGGGGGGTTGTCATAAAAATCCACCGAGTCCTTGTCATCCAACCTGTCATCACCGGGTGGCAAATGTCACATTGAGAAGCAAATGTTGGAATGCAAAAGACCAATATGTGGCTAAGATTTCTCATGGTGGTCTTACAGTATCAGTGCCTTAAGTGTCACATTTCAGTTTTCTAAAGTATTATTTATGTGATTCTCTGGTATATGATATTACATTTAATTTGATATTCCTTCCGTACAATTTGATTATTTCCAACTGCCTATGTTCTTCCCTTTGTTTTTTAGATTATTAAGATCACAAAAAAGGAAAACTTGGCTTTAATAGTACTCAAACACCTTGTAATTTATCCATCAGTTATCTGCATTAGGCAGCTAGTTCAAATATATTTACTCCTTTCCTGCTCTGTCTGCAGATTGAATTTACAAGTCGTAATAAGCCATGGTGCCGTTTGGTCAGTCGAGGTCTATATCCTCCAGGTATTCAGAGTCAGGACCAGCATCACTTCTGTTGCTGCGAAGGGATACCCAAAAAGTGTCCTCTGAAATCCAACTTCTTTGTGCTCGGGTTATATTCAATGATCAACCAGAAACGTTTGATCGAGATAAAGATTTCTTTTGTTTGATTAATATCTCACAGGTTTTCTCATCATGTTTGGCCTTGCGTTTGTTATCAGTGAACAAAGTGTAGCTATCCTCAAGACGCAGCGAACGCTGAGGTCTGCACTGGAGAGGCCACTTCATCTTAGCAAAGTTTAAACGGTGTAACCTGGTAAAAGATGGCAAAAACTTACACACGGGGTTTTGCCCTTCTCAGGTTGCTCTACATGTTAGAATAACAAGAAAACATTCAGTGACACTTAACAAGTGTCCAGCAGGTATTAGTAAAAGATGACAAAGGGAGGATGGATCATTTATGCAACTGACCGTGAAACTTAAAATCCACTTCCTCTCAAAGCAAGGTGGCTCCTGCTGCTGTCAGGACATGTCATGCTGACATGGAGGTACAACGCATCATGAACGCTCATCAAGCTCTATTTATTTCAACAACATTGCGCTGAATCAAAAGCCCAACGTTTCCACATGTGTCTTCTTCAGGGGCCGAGCAAGGACTCTAGGGCCCAATCCCAATGTCCCCCCCTTACGGACTCACGGACTTTGAGGCGCGCTCCCGCGAAGTCTGTGAGGGTTTAGGCATGTCCAAATGGCAAATCGTCAAGTGTTTGAGGGCTCTCTCGCAGACATTTTGAGCCCTTTATTAGCCCTTTCCGTAAGTCAGCATGGTATGCTGACTTAGCCGAAGGGAATTACCCACAAATCATTGCAATGTGACGTTAAACACGGGGTAACCAGTGGCATGGAGACGTAAAAAACAAAAGGTAAACAAAGAGGACTGCTCACGTGTGTTCAGCCTGGAGTATTAAATTTACTCAGAAACATTAAGGGTTAAAGATGGAACAAAAAATAAACATGAAATCAGAAGATATTTATTTATTTATTCATCAAACATTTGATTTTGTCATTGAAGCTTTTTTGACAAAAACAAGTAAATAGATTATATGAAGTTACCTCTCATCTTGTGAAGAAAGAGCCTGAAGACTTTCAAATCAGGGAGTACAAAGTATACAATAAATACACACAATTATACATCATATTTTTGTTGTCATGGTAACATATGTTGCAGCAAAGTGCTGTCCCATTCCCACCATCTCAAGCCCTCACAGTCTCTCACACTCAACCACTTACCAGGTGACGTCAGTAAATCCTTGAGGGTTCCGGGTTTGAGGGTTTAGGGGGGACATTGGGATTGGGCCTAGGCAAATTACAAACCACTTTTTATACATTTCCAGAAACATGTTCATGGCGCCATCTAGTGGTTGAAATAAAAAGAAATACAACAAGTTGTATCCAAACTAAACAGTAACAGTTGAACTTAACATCTGAGGATTCATCTCAAGTCTCACATCTTTGTGGACTCACACATGAAGAAGCTGGTGAACGCTTTGCCCTCCTACATACAAGACACCACTGACACGCTGCTAAAGAGCAGTGCTCTCTTTAACAATAATAATAATTTATCTATATAGCACCTTTAACACCTTGTGTTTACAAAGTGCTTTGACGGATAAAGCAGCAAAAGCAAGGCTTTACTGGCTCATTCCTTACAAGATGAGAGGTAATTTCATATAATCTATTTACTCGGTTTTTTGTCAAAACAGCTTCAAAATGCTCAAATATTGCTGCAACTAACTTGCTTCCTCTGGTCTGATTCCAATTCAATAGTGTACACATTAAAGCAATGAGCTGTTCTCTTGTAAATATGCATATAATACATATATGGTTTCAACTAGATGCTGAGTTTCTTTCCTGTAAACAAAAGAGAAGGATCTCCTGAGGTTTGCGCCTTTAATTGATGGCCCCGACTGATGATTGGCCAGCTGGAAGTCTGTGGGAACCAATGAGCAGCATGACTGGACCTCATCTCGTTAGCAGCTGGAGAGAAAACAGGAGAGGCAGCGAGAGAGACGCAGGAGGAAGGACGGGACACACACACACACACACACACACACACACACACACACACACACACAGTGTTCTGGCGCTTCCGATCGTACCACATGATCGTTATCAGCAGACTGAGTTTAGCTCATTTTAATGGAAAACCGCATCTGCTGATGAAAATCACTTACGATTAAAAGCCACAAAACAGACAATTAACTTGAGATTGTTTTTTCAACTGCTGTTTCTAAGGTCAAACATCCACTTAAAACCTTATCATTCCGACACTTAAGTTATTCTCAGAGCAACTCGTATAGATTTACTCGACTGCGGACTCAGCAGTTTTACTATTAGCAGTTAATGTGTGGCAGCTGTGGTTCAGAGTGAGTCGTCTATGAATTCTATTCTGTGCTTCGATCACTGGCTCCTCCAGTCCACATGTCAAGATGTCCTGAACCACAACACACACATGGACAGACGAATAAATACATCAAAAGAAAAACCTGAATAAATGAATGCAGATGCTTCCATAGAGGGCACAAGGAGCATCATTGTTTGAGGACACAGACACACACAGACAGACAGACAGACGCACGCACGCACGCACACGCACACACACACACACACACACAGGAGACCAAGGCTCTCTGCAGCTCAAACTTTAGAGTCAGCTACAATAAAGTCAAACAATGAACCACATGACACAGCAGATGTTTTGATAGATTTTTTCTTGACTTTTATATTTTTAAAAACAAACAAAAAATAACAGATTAAATAAAATTTACAGTAGACATATGCAAACATTGTGCACTTTAACTACTTCTTCTGATACGTTCTGCACAGCTGTCAACGAAAAAACGCAAACACAATGGAGCGTCGGGGGGGGGGGGGGACAGTTTAGGGAGAGAGGAGAAGACCGAAGAAGTGAGGTAGAGGGCAGTAAGGAGGAAACAAATCTAGGAAAGAGGAGAGGGGGATGAAGAGGGAAGGAGTAAAGGATAAAGGAGGACCTAAACTTTTTCACTCGGGGGAAAGAAAGAAAGAAAAAAATCACTGAATATATAGTTTTCTTTTAATCCTTACATCACTTGTATAAATATATTGAATCCCAAAAAAAAATAACAAAAAACTTCTGAGAAAAAAAACAAAAAAAAAAAAACAGCGCAATACAGAAACCCACAACAGCAGTAAGGCAAAGAGAAAGCAGGAGTGGAGAGAGCAGTGAGAGAGTAAATGAGAGGGACAGAGGAGCAGAGAAAGATAGCAGGCCGTATGAGACATGGCAAGAAAGGAGCTGAGCGAGTGCGCAACTGTGTGTCTGAAAATGTATAAATATGTGAGCTCAAGAGACGACTGGGTGACGGAGAGTTGGGGAAGGAGAGAAAGCGTTGGCAGGAAGAGGAGGGAGGGTTGGAGAGCAGAGGGAGGAGGAAAAGGTCTGACTGAGGTCGACTGTCCAGTGTGTTTCTGTTATGTGCTACGTGACCCTGTTGCCTGCGCGTGTGTGTGTGTGTGTGTGGCATTTCATGTGTTTTTGTATAATGGCAGCACACATTCCACAGCAACAGTGAAACACATGCTCGTGTGTGTCTTGTGTGCTCTTCTGCTATATAAATACAAAACAAAAACAATGAATAAAAACAAAAACTAAATCATTTCTGCAACCAAACACCAGCCACCTCAGAATTCACACCTTCTTTCCTTTTATACATTTGACACATTTAACTCAAGTATTTTTTTGTTTCATTTGTTTTTGTTTTTAAATTGTACACTAAGAGCAGTCCCCCTCAGTCCTCCCTCCTTTTCCACCACTCCACCAAGAGTCTCTCTTTTGCTTCCTTCCTTTCCTCCCCCTCTCTTCTCCTTTCACTGAGAGCTGGCTCTCTCCAGAACGCGCAGGTCATAGTTCTTTTTGGCGGCCCTCAGTTTGAAGAGGCTGGCCCCGTTGTTGTTAAGTTTGAAGGAAGCACTCTGGGCGGCCATGGTGCTGGGGAACACTGCCACTACCGTGTAGAGGTGAGCCGGGTCGCCGCAGTCGCCCTTCGCTCCCATGCCGGCCACGAGCCCACCGGCGGCTCCCGGCCCGGCGGGGACCGCACCAGGACAGGGGCCACAGCCTCCTCCTCGGCCTCCCTGGGGCTCCTTCAGCCACTGGATCTTGGCACCGCACATCGACAGCTGGTTGAAGAGCTTTTCGGCCTCTGGACGTGAAATGCCCTCTGGCAGGTCCGTTACCTCGAGTACTCGACTCACCACTGGACAAAGAGAAGAGGAGGAGAGCCAGAGAGAGAAGATGTTAGCGGCTTTGATTGCTCAGGAAGTGTCTTTGTAGACTTCAAGCACCTGATCCAGAGACACGCTGTGTGTGTTTGCTCGCCTGTGTCGGCTGAAGACTTTTCGCTTCGTGCAATCATGTTTGCACAGCTCCAAGGATACTTCAATTAAATTTGCCACGGCTGTTGAACTACACTTGAATGCAGTGCTGAGAGCGCGTGTCAGTGTAGTTTCAACAACTCGAGGTATACTTAATGGAGTTTGTGAGGAAAGAAATACAGGAAAATCAGCAATAAGGCCGATATAGGGCTCAGGTGAGTTCATCTACTCATCACATTCTCTAAAAATGAAAGATCACATGGTGAGTGTAACTATACCTGCAGGCAGAATGTAATAACGGGGGCGGATGATATTCTGGTTCTGTGATGACGCATCTCCGACTTACCTACATCAGTTGTGCCGAGATCTGTCGATGCAGATTTGAGTGTTTGTTTTTTCCCCCGTGCCCCGTGCTTCATCACTCCTTGGCCCTGAACACATTATAACACAGATATTACCTTTTGGCTACACAACATGCTGCAGAGACAGAATTCACACTCAGAAAACAAAGTTATGTACCTGGTGGTGTATTTAATTAAGTTTTTAGCATGGAATTCATGACGGCTCTATTCAAGCCAGAAATAAACTGAATTACAGAAACAATACATGCTCGAGATGTCTTGTCAATCAGAGCAGGTTCAATTTTCAAAGACTGTTAGCTTCTTAATGCATATTGGCCAACTAGAAGGCTTGTTTAAAAGAATATCATGACCTGTCAATATCACAGCCTTTGAATCATATTGGTACAAAGTCTTGCCAGCACTGACCTGATGGGAGCTGTAGGAGGACTGGCCATGCATTAGTGGAGGACACAGGCTGTACTGCAGAGGTTGCCCCAACAGAGAGTAGCGCCCGTCACCTTAACAATAACAGCTCACAGTTAAAATCATCAATCCTGAACATACTTCAAAGTAGAGTTGCATTGCCTCAGTAACAAAAGGTCAGGTGAACCATATTACCACACATTGTGAAGAATGTAAATACACTAACGTAGATCATTAAACAAGCAGATGGATGAAGGCTTTAATGGAACTTCCATTTCACATTCAAGATTCTCTTTCAACAACTTGTCGAGTAAAAAGAAAATAACTGCTAATAAGCATCCAAAGCCTTAGAAAAGGTTCAGTGGGCCTAATGTAGCTCTTACCTACAGTATTTTCTCATTATGTGTGTCATGGTGACCTTGCGTGGATTGCAGACTGATGCAAGACTGTCTGTATGTGTAATCATGCGTTCCAAACAGTGGGTCTGTTTATCAGTAAAGGCATTGTGGCTCTGTGTGTCAATATCGGACAGAGGACAGGGATGAGGTGAAGCCACGTGTGGGTACAGGAGGTCTGACCTGGTGGCCCAGTTTGAACCTGCTGAGGCTATTGGTTCAGGGCCAAAAGCCACTACTCCACAGCAGGAACTACTCTTCCTGCTGTGAACTAAAAAGGAGAAACCTGAAACAACCTGGTTGATATTTGTGTAGATGTGGCCACATGTATACAAGCTTTCATGCCTCGCGTTCATGCGTACCTTGAGCGGATCCTCCTGGCCGGGGGAACTGGGAGATGAGGGGCAACGGTCCCAGGCCTGGACAGACGCTGCTGACGCTGCCGGAGGGAGACGGGGTGGGAGACTGAGTGGGGGAGGTCAGGGGACTCGTCAGCTGAGTACTGGCCTGGACACAAAGAGAAGAGGAAAAATAAGAAATCATGTGACACACACCGGTCACGTCAGTGTCAGTCCTCCTGTTGGCCACTAGGGGGCTGCTAATGAACGAATCCTTGAAGACGAATGACTGGATTTGTAAGTTACAGTCTGGATTCATGAGATCCTTCACATTTATTTAAAATAACGCTACCCTTCATGTGCATTCGTGTGTACCTGTGGAGTGTTGTCCGGTTTGTACAGCTCCCCTGGCTTGCTGGGCCTCTGCTCTATGCTGTAGTACTTGCATGGGTTCCACTGGACCAGAGGAGGGTTCTGGGAAGGCTGTGGCCCATTGGGGACGCTGAGCTGCATGACCATCACCCCGGGCCCAGGAGGCGGTACTCCTGAGAGAGAGCACACAGATAAACAGGTAATTTAATTATAGATAACTGAGATATTGCTGTTTATAGTTTAATGCAGTGGACTTTGTATCGGCAAGTACTAGCCGATCGGCATCTACTGTAGGTAATACACACCGACTAGTGCCTCATACAACCCCACTACAAACAATCTCAACTATCCCTTTAAGAAATCAAATGCCAGAATATCAAACACATTCATTATTCTAAACATCAATAAGATGATGACTTTTTGTTAAATTCAAAAAGCCCTAAAGCTTTTGTTGAATTTAGTCTCAGGTTTGAAAACAGAGCCTGAAATATAAATTTTAAAGCAAATTACCAACATAAAGCGGTCTGAGAAACTGACTAAACATACAGAGTAAAGGACACAAACTAGAGCAGAGGTTGAAAGGATGAAGTGACCATGATCACCATCAACATTTACTTAAGGCCAAACGGGAGCACAAGGTCTTTCTGACGTGTAGGTTTTCTCTGACTTCTTCAAACATTCCCTTGTTACGGACATCGATTTACGTGCTCACCGTGTGAACCCTGTGTACCTTCATCTGAACCTTACCCTGAATACCTTTCACCTGATTCTGTTGCACACGTGGATACCACTGAATTTCAAAATACTCCAGGCATTCACTTTGGTAGAATAATGCTCACAAATAAGATAAAATTAATTAAAGCAAAATAAAATCTTTTTCAAAAAGGCTGAAATCATTTTTCATCCGTTAGTCATAAAATGTTTTCCTAATGGCCACTTTGCTGCTTCTTGACACCGAGTCTCACCTGAATATTGCTGCTGCAACTGTTGAGGGTTGCAAGGGGACGGCGACTGTGTGATCTGATACTGCTCAGAGCTGGGGGGCTGCAGGTAACCTACTGCCGGGCTGCAGGGTTAGACACAGAGGAGAAATAAATGCATGGGGAGAGGCAACACACACTCATACAGGAGGATAGAGGCCCACATAATGAAGAAAATCACGAATACCAAGGTGTTACGTTTGTTTTGCGGTCATTTGTAAGTACATCACATCTGTACACGGCTCTGCTAAAACACACAACATATTTGCTAACAGTTACGGTGGCGATCTGAAATGGTTGGACACTACTGCCAACTCATTAGTGCATATATCATGTATTCAGACATACCTTGTGCTGTTCTGCTGTGTGGGTGTAATAACACTGTAGTAGACGGGCATGGGCCCCTGGACAGACTGGCTGACTGGAACCATCACCTGCTGCTGGTACTGCTGCTGCACCACCTGCTGATTTTCATTTCCCACTGGAACCTGGAAAACACAGAAAGACTACTTGTGAAATACTGTAGACCAATATCAGTAGTCAAAATAAAAGATTATTCAGAACGTCATCATCCGTATCCAAGTATACACAAAACAAATCCAGCTGCTGACGGGAATGTGGGGAGAATAATGCCGACCACACACATATTGTCAAAACAACACAAATCCACAAATCCGATATTTTACACATTAAAGAACAGAACGGCGTACATAGAGAAACACGCTTGTGGAAACATGTCCCAAAAGCCCACAAAAAGAGCAATTCTATCTTTTAGTGGATCAAGATTAATGGTCATTCAGCTTCGTCTGACTCTCCAACATGAACTGTTGCTTTACATGAGCACCAGATGGAGCCGTTTAACTTAAGATCAGCCACATGCATGTGTACACTGGTGGGGCTGAAATGTTCAGCACACCAGGCAAGGCTCATTTTCTTACTGATAACAATAAAACTGTTCATCTGTACCCTTTTATTAATGTTGTCCTAAAGCCGATTTAAAACCGTTGCTACCTGATATGATGGCATCTGTGGGTACTGAACCATTATGCTTTGCATTTGTCCTCCCATGCCGGCCCTCTGGGAGTTAAGCAGACCAGGGTTTTGGGGCTGCTGCACACCCATCATACCCTGGTAGCTCGGCTGCTGGCTGGGCATCATCGTCTGGAGACCTGATGACAACAGACAAACAGTTAGATGAGAGAAACTAGAGCAGTGTGATAAACGAAGGGTCCAGTACAAGAGAAGACAATAAGAGACGACGGGTAGTTGGGCCGTTGCCTTTGAGGGGAAAACCATTAGAGTAGACTTCAACAAACAGATTTTCAGCTTTTTGTAATTGTTTTGAACCAGAGTGAAGCGTTTCTGCATTGCTGAGCGCCTCTACCATCAAGTTGCCACAATTTTGGCCTTTGAGCAAAAAGAAAAAGAAGACATCCCTCTGGACAACCTCTTTACTTTTTGAGTTTATATTTATTTATTGTAGTGACTTTAACAAATATCCAATTTTATCTTAAAGCCACTGGGGGGCGAACGGGAGAACTTGTTCGGATGCGTGTTCTATGCCACAAACACACAAATGCCTGTCCAGTGCACTGCATCTTTCGATCCGTTGATCCATTTGTTCCGTTTGCACATTGACACCATAACAGAACAGCACAGGACACTACATGACAACACCTTGACACGCCACGCTGACACGCTGGCTGACACGTTGAATGACACGGTTACAAACTGTTAGCTTCCCATTCTCATCACCAGGCACTTACCTATATGCACTTTTATGTCAATGTGACACCCAGTGTACAATGTCAGAACTGCATGTGTAAACCCACCCCGTGTTCCCTCAAAGACAAAAGAAAACTACAACACCACATTATGGCTCCAACATATACCTATAGCGCTTTATTTTGATAAAAACAATGGTTTCAATACCCAGAAGTAATTGAAGAGGAACTCAGAAGCCAAACACACTTCATACCAATTAAGTTTCAATTAAGTATGTTAAATGGAAATCTTCACATCGATTGATGGAAAGTCACACTGACTGAAACTGACATGATGGATCTGAGTAATCAGTTGCTGTACAAACACAGACAACCTGTCCTTGACAGACCCCAAATGAAAGACTGAGCTGTCGCGGTTTTCCCTGAAAAAAGGAAAAAGCTCTATTTCGGTCTGAGCATGTTTGACTTGGCAGAACGATACGGGGACGAGGTCGTTTACGATCAACCTTTCACCTGGAAGACTTCAAACTGAGAATGATTTAGCAGTTTTTAGCTGAGGTAACAACATACTACAGTTACAAAACCAAGTGGACTGTATCTGTGTATTAACTCGTTCTGGACACATTTTGGATGGTGCTCCTAATAAGTTAAAAAAGTTATGGTCATAGCTCTATTCTGATTTCTTGTGACAACATTCTCAATATAAATATGCAACACTAAATACAGAGTGTGTTTAATAATTAATGATTTTAAACAAAAAACGCACAGGAAACACTTATTATAAGTCTTTATGTAGTTATCAGTTAATTACAGTACTGACCTGACTGCTGTGTGGGCTGAGGCATGGGTTGTGTGCGCTGGGCAGGATAAGACACCTGGTGGGACATGGGCTGGGGCACACGGTACTGCTGGCCAGAGCTGGGATACTGACCAGGAGGATAGTAGGACACCTGTATCTGAAGAGAAGCAACAACACAAATATTTAGAGATGAATAAATACACAAAGATGATACAAGAATAATTGCTCTGTGTGTCTTCAACTCTGTTCACACACAGAGATAATACCAGGGGCCACCCTCCTATATTCTCATGGTATTGAAAACACATCATTACTTCTTTATGCCTTATCGGCAATTGTCAAATATTTTGTTTAGACACATTACACCTGCAATGACTCACTTATTGGCCACATGGGGGCAGCAGAAACAAGCTCTGAGAACACCACTGACATGTGATGCCCTTCTGAGTTGAGATAGAGAGAGAGATAGAGATAGAGATAAATGTATATATATATAGTATGGAATATATATATAGATATATATATAGATATATATAGAT